TTTCCGTAGTTGAAGTTTTTGAAAAAGTAACATTTTTACTTTTTGGAAACTTGCACTTCATACACCAAGATATGCAGCTGTGGCTTCATTGATCATAATTTCTGCCTTAACCATGTTGGAAAGGGCATGGGTTCTGAAGATGGGGATCTTACTTTTGATTTGTGTGTTTAGCACTTATATCCAGGGTCACCACTTAGCCTCAGTTTCATATATAGAGGGGGGGTAATGTATTCTTACCAAGTCACTGAATTTTACATGGTGTATGTGAAAATGCACTTTTTTTTTTTTTTTTTTTTGCACAATTAGTTACTGAATCAAAACCAAATCACTTTTGTCCCAAGAACCCCCACACCTCATTTAGGAAGTCATTGACTTTCCTTTTTCATTTAAAAATATCTTTTCTTTCTACCTCTTATCCCTTTATAATCTAATTGTGCTTTATTTTATTTTATTTTATTTTATTTTATTTTATTTTATTTTATTTTATTTTATTTTATTTTAGAAAGGGCATTCTTTTTTTTTTTTTAATTTTTTAAATTTGTTTTGAGATAGAGAGTGTGCACACATGTGCAGGACGGACAGACAAAGGAGGAAGAGAGAGAATCCCAAGTAGGCTCCACACTTGTCAGCACAGAGCCTGATGTGGGTCTTAAACTCACAGACCTTGAGATCATGACCTGAGCTGAAATCAAGAGTTGAACACTTACCAACTGAGCCACCAAGGCGCCCCTTGTTTTGTTTTATTTTTATTTTAATATTAATTGACTGGCTTATGAAATAAAATTATTTTTCCCTAAATGAAAATTTGGGCTAAAGTGTTTGGAGGGGAGAGAGTTTATTGCAAAGCTTATTTTAAAAGCTTGGTTCAGGGCGCCTTGGTGGCTCTGTCGGTTAAACTTCCAACTTCGGTTCAGCTCATGATCTCGCAGTTCCTGATTTCGAGCCCCAGGTTGGGCTCTGTGCTGACAGCACATCCTGGAGCCCACTTAGAGTTCTGTGTCTCTTCCTCTCTCTGCGCCTCCCCTACCCCTGCTCACTCACTCTGTCTCTGTCTCTGTCTCTGTCTCTGTCTCTCTCTCTTGAAAATAAACATTCAAAAAAATTTTAAAGCTTAGTTCAGTGGGTTTAACAGAAATTTCTCTATACTTGAAATTTCATTTAATTTTGCATCTCAGCATTTTTCAGATGAAAAAATTGAATCCTACGGCTTTTGAGTGTCTTATCCAAGATTATATAGCTATTTAGTGGAAGGGATGAAGCAGAAATCTGTTCTTTTACCTTATATTCCAATGTTCTACCACATTAGCCTTCCCTCTTAGATTTCACCGTTTTTATGATTACTTGGGCACATCTCCATGGTACTAGAAGTGTATAAAATGCACTTGCACTTGTATTAATCATCTTAAGGGACTTCTTGCTGTTTTGTCCCTTTTCCTCTAAACTGGGAGATACATACTGTCGCAGACTTTTAAAAATTTTTTATGAAACAGAAGCAATCAAAAAGCAAACTTCAGTATGTCATGTTTTATTTATGGTAATTTACTCTAGAAAGCTTTTCAATTCATAAATCCCAGTGTATTGTTTTCCTTCCCAGCATCCTATAAATTACTCCACTAAAACTTGAGTAAGCTATTGTTATGAAAGTAATGTCCTGTCGTCAGAAGTACATTAGAAGTGTAGATAGCACCCCTTGATTAGTTTCCTGTTGGTGAAACCAGTGTTTGAGTGTGTGTTTTCTACAGGTACAGTTTGGAACATTCAAGTTGGAGGAGCTGTTAGAAATTAGTTCTAAACCCCATTTTCTATATGAAGAAACTGATAGTGACACAATTGGCTCTTGCAAACCAGGATTCCTGAATTGTTTATAAATACGTATTCTTTAAAAAAAAAAAAAAACTTTTATTTTAAAATATAGAATGATAGGAAAGTATTTCATTTTTTTCCTTCTAATTATTAAAAGACAGATTTAACTTAATTTTTCAAAAGGTGATGAAAGTAATTTCCTTTTTTTTTTTAAGGTTTGTGTTTGAAATGCAAAAATATTTTGTAACAAATCAGATAATATAGGTTTTTCTAAAATAAAATTTTGAAAATAAAATTAATTTCAGAAAAAAACTCTCCTGCTTACCTCCATTTTGTCTTTTTTTGACATGGTAACACTTTTGTGTAAAATCTTTTATGTGCTTTATTTTCTTAGAGAAACATCAAATATATACACATACAGGATTTACATATTTATATCGAAGTAATTGTAAATTTGTGTCGGTTAGTCTCCAGCTTGCTTTTACAAATTAAAAACTCAAAAGTGTATGTAATAGCTTCTGATTTGATATATTCAGTTTATGGCTATATCATTATTTAGTTAATGATTTCCCAGCTGATGGACTGTTACTTTGCAGTTCTCTAGGAACAGCTGCAAATCACAGAGCAAAGTACTTAGGTGCACAGGTGCAAGTATTTCTGTGGGATAGATTCTAAGGTGGTGTGAAGGCACGGTTAACAGTGCAGATTCTGGGGCTAAGACTTCCTGGAATAAATCTAGGTTGCGCCACTTAATAGCTGTGCAGCTTAAGGCAAGGGACTCTTTGTGCTCTCATTTCCTCTGCAAAGAATTTGGATCAGTGATAATCTTTACTTTCTGAGGAGACCGTCTTCTTTGACAGGTCGATGGGGGGAAAATGTTGTCTCCCTCTTTACTAACTAAAGAGATTGATCATCTTTTCATATGTTGTAATTAATTTGTAATTCTGTGAATTACTCATCATCTTCTGTTCTCGTTATTTTGTTTGACTTAATTGCCTTTTTAAAATTGGAAATATTTTGGACTCTAACACTTCACTATATGTAGTGAATATATCCTTTACTCTGTTGCTTACCTTTCATTTTTTTTGTTTTCTTTCTACATTGCTAAATCTATCTTTTAAGGCTTCTGAATTATTGTTTTCGCTTAGGAAGATCTTCTGTATCACAAGACTTTTAAAAATTGTATTTTTTTTCTTATACTTTAGTCTGTTTATTTCAATGTATGGATCTTTATACAGATGATTCGGGTTTGATAATAGAATAGATATATACCATTTTTTTCCTTAAAATAGATAAAACAGAATTTTATTATTGCTTTTTAAACTGGTCTCTCCTTGCTATATTGATTTGTACTGTCACTTTTACCAAATATTAAAATCTCATAAATTCATGGTTCTGTTTCTAGAGTCTTTATTTAGGTTCATTGATTTTTTGTCTGTATTTGTTCCCATATCAAAGTTTTATTTTTTTTCCGTATCATATTTTAAAATTACTTTTCCTTTGTAGTCAGTTCAGTATCTGACAGCACAAATTCCCTCATTTTCCCCCAGAAGTTTCACAGCAATTTGTATGCATTTACTCTTTCATGTGTAAACTTTAGAATCAGTTTGTTGAATTATGTTTAAAAAAAAACAACAAACCTGAGTTATTTTGATAAAAGATGGCATTGACTTCTATTTTGCATACTGTTAAAAATAGCGATTTCAACCTAATGTTTTAATTTACCATTGACTTTAACCTAGATTATTACCCAGGTATTTTCAATTGTCCATAATCTAAAGAGATAAATTAATTTTAGTAATTCTTTTTTTCTTTAAGTTTATTTATTTACTTAGAGAGAGATGGGAGGGGCAGAGAGAGGGGAAGAGAGAGAGAATCCCAAGCAGTCTGGAGCCCATTGTAGGGCTCACACCCACAAACTGTGAGATCATGACCCGAGTGTAAACCAAGAGTCATCTGACTGAGCCACCCAGGCACCCCAATAAGTTATTTAATTTTTATTCATTTTTTATTTTTCCTTTCTAAAAATGACTTTATTTACAGGGTTAGCCTTGGAGAAAAGACTTTCATGTCAAAAGGAACACTTGAAATATTCTTTTCTAGATGCAGAGATATTTTGAAGTCACAGGCATTGTCAGGAATACATCTTAGAAAAATTACCAAATCATTTTCTAAAATGCCCTTCAGATGTTATGGTTTTTAATATTCTGAAATTTTATGGTATGTAGAAAACCCACATTGAAACCCACTATTTATAGAGTATCTCAGTTTATTTTTTTATTTTTTAAATATAAAATCATTTAATTTTTTTTAGTGTTTTTTTTTAATGTTTTTATTTATTTTTGAGACAGAGAGAGAGAGACAGAGGATGAGCAAGGGAGAGGCAGAGAAACAGGGAGACACAGAATCCAAAGCAGGCCCCAGGCTCTGAGCAGTCAGCACAGAGCCCGAATTGAGCTCGACCTCATGAACCACGAGATCATGACCCGAGCTGAAGTTGGACACTTAACTGACTGAGCCACCCAGGCACCCCTAAAAATTATTTAATTTTTTAAAAGACTTTGGAATACGGAATCTATTTGGTTCTTTTCCCCTTCCTGTTTTTTGTACAATTTTGTAGCATTACCATAGAAATGCTTTTTATGTGCTTATTTTACCAGAAATTTTCATTGACATAATATACATATTTGGTTGTATACATTGGGTTCTTTGGCGTATGTTTCAGGTCTTTGTTTTCTGTGGTAAAAGTTTGATATTAACATGTAATTATAGATGACTGAAACCTTTTCTGTTTCTTTATGTTTATTTTGTAAACATAGTTATTTTCTGACACATTTTAGAATACTATAATACTCCTTCGGTTATGTTGGCAGTGTTATTAACTTTTAGGTCAAAGACTGTTTAAAGTGTATTTTAAGGATGTGTATTATTTATTCCCCTAAAATGTGCTGTGATTTAGTACTAGATGTAGAAAAAAGAAAGTTCTTTTGTTTTTATATTGAATCCAAAAGGTGAATAATGCTAGACTTTATTTTGACCTTCAAAAAAAAAAAATTTTCAGAATTCCATTCTGAAATCTCTTCTGAGATGATAGCAGAATTTGTTTAATATTTTCCAAATTTTTTGATAATATGATTCCTGATGCTTGAAATGCCATTTTCAGTAGTAAACAGTATGTTTTGTTTCTTGTCATGCAGGTCTTTGAAGTTCTACAGTTTAGTTCTCAGTGCTGAACTTCCTTCTCCCTTAAGTTATTATAAACTTTTGCTGCTGTTCAATAATCGTGAAGATGTCTCGCAGTCCTGATGCGAAGGAAGACCCTGTGGAATGTCCTCTTTGCATGGAGCCCTTGGAGATAGATGATATCAACTTTTTCCCTTGCACCTGTGGCTATCAGATTTGCCGATTTTGTTGGCATCGAATTCGCACTGATGAAAATGGGCTTTGTCCTGCATGTAGAAAGGTAAATACTTCAGAGTAACTTTGTGTAGTTTTTTCCTCCCATGCTTATGAACAAGTAGATTTATTTATTTATTTATTTAACCTAATGAGCAAGTAGATTTAAAAGAATCTACAAACATCAGGCGGTTTTATGTGCAGCCTTATATTTTTAAGATACAATGAAATAGTATGACCTTGGTAAAGTCACATAATCTATCTGGTTAACCTTTAGTTTTCCTATCTGGAGAGATTAAAAAGATCCGCGGCACTGGATGTTCAAGAGAATTAGGAGTAGGGAGGCAGTGGATTTAGGTTGGATGGTGTGAAATTGGAAAAAACACTTTCACCTGGGTGGAAATTCACTTTAATTTTCTAGTACAAAATAGGGAAGATGGTTTGATGCTTACTAAAAGAGGTTATGGGTTAAAATGACAGAGAAATCCTGGTTCAGAAGGTAATGGTTACTCATTTGTTGAGTCCTTATGATAACTCGAGGCTGTAATGCTGTTTCTGTTGTACGTTGAAAGTAGGCCTTTTAAGTACCTTGTCCCCAGGTATCATCAGCTAGTGGGCAGTAGGTTTGAAATTCAAATATAAGGCTAAAAAATTCTGTGAGTTTTAATCTTTCTGGGTCTTGTTTAAATAAGTAGGCATAATAGTTACAGTGTAGTGAGTGACTTAATAGAGTGAGTAGGATTGCTGCATTTTATTTTGAAGGTGACCTAGGGCTTAATGCAAATATCTATTTCTTTTGCCTTTGTTTTCCGGTGTCTGTTAGTATGATTTAAACTTCCTTCACTGTTTACCTATTTCAAAGAGCTCTTGTGTTCATTACTACCAAATCTCAAGAAAGCAGGAATGTGTTTTAGATTTATCTATTTAGATAAATAGGATATTTATTTTATCTCTGAATTTCCTTACCGGAGGAATTATGTCTCAGAAGGCAGTGCAATATTGAGTTGTTGTTTTTTAATCTAGTGGGCATGCAGTATATATTACATGAATGAAAAAAGGTTAGGTCTATTTAAGTGTTAAATAATATGCATAATTACATATATATTATATATATACTTTATTTGTACATAGTATATATAACATTTGTAATAGATATTTATAATGTATATATTGTATCTTTTTGTATAGTTAATATACTTTAAGAATGTGAATGAGAAGTAACTGAAACCTTAATATTAGCTTTGGTCAAAGTTTATAATAAATTTGTGTTAGTAGATTTTAAACATTTAGTCATATTTTAAAAATTGGTTCCTGGTCATTCCGTTAGAAGATAATTGTACTGAACTATTTTGTTGAAAGTGGTGACTTTTAGTATAGCCCAAAACTATAAGGCTTGTGAATTTTTTTGACTTCATTAAGTTTATCTCTTTCTCTTTTTTTTCTTTTGGTGTACTGTGAAGTAGAGTCTTTTTTTTTTTTTTTTTCTAATTTTTTTTTAATGTTTATTTATTTTTGACAGAGAGAGAGAGTGCAAGCTAGGGAGGGGCAGAGAGAGAGAGGGAGACACAAAATCTGAAGCAGGCTCCAGGCTCCTCCAAGCCATCATGTCAGCACAGAGCCCGATGCAGGGCTCGAACTCATGAATCGTGAGATCATGACCTGAGCCGAAGTCAGACGCTCAGCCAACTCAGCCACCCAGGCGCCCCTGAAGTAGAGTCTTAATAGAAAGTCCAATTGTTAAGTTGTCATTAGAGAAAAATCAGTTATGTGGGGAGATTTCAAAGAAATTCACTTCAGTTTTAAGGGATTACCCAGAATCACCTTAAATTCTTAGAAAGTAGAGAAAAAAGTAGAAACATGTTAAAGATAAAATAAAATAATTTTAGCAAAGTTGGTTATCAGTAGTAGGGTCCCTTTCTGGGAAGACAAGCAAGTGTGGAGAATCTGAAAGACAGTATGCCATTGGGATCAATTTTAAGAAAGAAACATTAGCTCAACAAGTACTCAAGATAAGGCTGCTGAGAAAAGGTAAGAGTAGTGATGCCTTTACGATCCTAAGGAAAATATCAGTGTGGTTGCTTGAGTGTTGCACTGAAGCAGCATATGGATCCAGCCCATCTTTTATGCCATGTAGCACAGACAGATGCTCTCTCTCTGGAACACTGGTTATAAATTTGGGTCAGAGCCTTAAGGTGGATGAAGATACCCTGGAGGAACTAAGACCTCCTATGCTCAGAAGATGAATTATTGATATACCACCACCTTGTCCTCTCTGCAGTCACAAAAGAGCATCCTGCAGTAAACAGAAATAACATTTATAGACTGGTTGACAGAGTTCTTACATGTAAAGATTGCTACAACCAAGAATTAACAGACATTTCAGGAATACCAACATTATGAAAGAGAAGCACAAAAAAGCAGTAAATAAAAGAACCTACCATAAGTAAGCCAACAGAAAGAAACATTTAAAAGTGTCACTGATGCTTCTCAAACAGATAAAAAAGAATGGCAGATCTAATGCAGAAGGAACATTTTTTAAAGAGCAAATTAGAGATCCTGAAAATGAACAATCTTATGGGTGGGCTAAGAACAGAGTGAACGCAGGAACAAATTAATGTATGTTAACTAACTAGAATTTAAATAAAAATTTGAAAAGAAAATAAAAGAACAAATTAAGTTGGAAGATCTTGCTGAGTATTTTTTTTTTGCAGGATATAGTACAAAAAAAAAGATAGAAAATAGCATGAAAGAAAAGTTCAGCAGCATAAAAAAGATACACTGTTTTCTAATCTGCTAAGAGAAGCTACAGAAACAGTGAAATAAGAATGAATGGGAAGAAATACAGAACCACTAGAAGAAAATTTCACATGAAAAGCAGTTGTCCTTAGAAGGGCTGTGTGAGTCTGAGACAAGATGACTGAAAAATGTTAACATCTATTTATATAATTGTGAAATTTTTAACATCTAGAAGACAAAGTTCTAAAAGCTTATGGGAGAAAAATACATAGACTATAGAATAAAACTGATACCATTGTTTCTGTTTTACAGAGAATTTTTTTCCCCGAAGTTTTGAGGGTGAATAACTTTGAAGAATTGTCAATTTCATTCATATGTAAAAGCATAATAAATCGTTTTTCCAGGGGCACCTTGGTGGCACTTGATTTCTGCTCAGGTCATGATCTCACAATTTGTAAGATCAAACCCCACACCGGGCTCTCTCTCTCACTTGGGATTCTCTCTCTCTCTCTCTCTCTCTCTCTCTCACTGCCCCTCCCCACTCGCTCTCTAAAAATAAATAAACTTAAAAAAAAAAAAAAAACATTTTCCAGACATACAAAGATTCATAAAGTTTGATATTCACTATACAGGACAAGTAGAAGAAATGGTGACTAAGGTTTTGGACTAAAGCAACTGTTAAGTAAAGGATGGCCATTGAGATGAAGAAGACTGTAGGAATAGGTTTTTTGAGAAGATCAGAAATTCAATTTTAGACATGTTAAGTTTGAGGTTTCTATTAGAAATCTAAGTGGAGATATTGGATAGATTGGTGAATATTCAAGTTTGGTTCTGTTATAGAAATATAAATTTGAGAGTTAGCATATGGAATGTTATTTACAAAATAATACTGGCTGAGATCACGAGAAAGGATCAATAGAAAAGATGAGAGATTATCTAAGGGTGTGAATTCTCTTAAAGAATTTTGAGACAGGGAATGCAAGCTGGTGCAGCCACTCTGGAAAACAGTATGGAGGTTCCTCAAAAAACTAAAAATAGAACTACCCTATGACTCAGCAATTACACTACTAGGCATTTATCCACGGGATACAGGTGTGCTGTTTTGAAGGGACACATGCACCCCAATGTTTATAGCAGCGCTACGACAAGAGCCAAAGTATGGAAAGAGCCCAGATGTCCATGGACGGATGAATGGATAAAGAAGATGTGGTGTATATATACAATGGAGTATTACTCAGCAATCAAAAAGAATGAAATCTTGCCATTTGCAACTACGTGGATGGAACTGGAGGGTATTATGCTAAGTGAAATTAGAGAAAGACAAAAATCATATGACTTCACTCATATGAGGACTTTAAGAGACAAAACAGATGAGCATAAGGAAAGGGAAACAAAAATAATATAAAAACAGGGAGAGGGACAAAACAGAAGAGACTCATAAATATGGAGAACAAACTGGGGTTACTGGAGGGGTTGTGGGAGGGAGGATGGGCTAAATGGGGAAGGGGCACTAAAGAATCCACTCCCGAAATCATTGTTGCAATATATGCTAACTAACTTGGATATAAATTTAAAAAACCAAAAGTAAAAAAAAAAAAAGAATTGTGAGACAACCTCCTTTTGGGTTTCCAAGTTATAATCTTTAGCTGGGGTGGTTATTGTTAAGTCAGACCCGGAAGAAGTTTTTCGGTTTCTTGTTGACTTAACGTAACCACAACTGCTAGGACTTCTGCTTGGTCTCCTGACTACTGGACCTGGCTTCTACTTGTCTCCCGGCCGGAGTGGATCATGGACAGCAGCCGGTGCAGACCACGGAGAGTCTTGGAGTCTGAGACCCGGCTGAGCCTTGCCAGAAAGTGTGCTGAGCACACGTGCCACCTGTGGTTACGAAGCAGCCCATCTCAGGGACCAGCAAGTCTGTATGTCTCTAGAGACTAGCCTCAGCGGTTGTGTTAACGCAGAGGAGCACAGTGTTGCCAAGGCTTGTAGAAGTCCAGGAAGCCGCCATTCACACATAGCCCAACTCTGCTGGGAAAGTGGCCTGTAGAGGTCACACTGTGAAATGGCAAATTGAGATGATTTAAATAAACTTGGAAGTGCAGGTGAGGAGTTCGTTGAAGGAAGCCCTGGTTTGGACTCACAAATGAAACCTGCTTGTTTGCATAAAGGTCCACTTTGCTTTAATACTTTTGAGAAGCAGAGAGGTGGGTAGGTTTTAAAAACTAGGAGAGTTTAATGTTTCTGTTCGGTCCTAGTTGTTGAGCCTAATGGGTTCAGAAGGACCTTAGTATTTCCCTAAACAAAGTCACAGGTTACCTGGTCATTCCTTAG